TTTGACTTTCTAAACTGCACGTGCATTACTTTGATCTTTGAAAGAGATTAATATGCTGCAATGAGAAATCAGGCAATAGGCAACCATTCATTCATTCAATAAGCATTTAATGTGTGCCTACAGTATACCAGTCCCTGGGAATTTGGAGGAAAAACAAAAAATGATCCAGGTCCTTTCCTCCCTGGCTCACAGTCCATTGGGTTTCTCAGCACAGCCAGAGGGGCAACAATTCAAACTCTCCTGTAGTGAGGCGTTAATATGGTGAAGGAAAGAGGCATGGACACCTGCTTGTTTTGAATTTCAAGGTCTGTGGCTAGCGGTTTCTGTTGGCTTGCCTTGGGCAAGGTTGCTGTGGGCTTAGCCTCAAGTCATGATGGGACCCAAGCAGGTGGGGCAGATGACAACTGAAGTAATAATGAGCCCTAACATGGGCAGTCGGCAATGTGGGATACATTTTCTAAAGCATTAGGGCAACCAAAGGTTTGTTTCAAGCATGAGGGTCATTGGCTGGCTGCTTTGTTTCCATGACCTAATTTAATCCTCACACTAAACTTCTGAGGTGGCTACTATTAATATCTCTACCTTCTAGATAAGGAGATTGGAGCCCAGAGAGGTTATGTGACCTGCCTAAGGTCACACAGCTCATAAGCAGCAGAGCTAAACCTCAAACCCAAGTCTTGAGTCTATGCCCTTCAGCCTTAAGACTGGGATTTTTCTCAGTCATTGGATTAAGAGCTGCAAGACCTGAATTCTAGCTCCTGCTCTACCAATAATCGGCTGTGTGATCTTAGGCAAGTCCCTTCCCTTCTCAATGTCTGTTTCCAGGTGTGAAAAACGAGGGGGTTGACTCAGATGACATCTAAGCATCCTCTATACTTCGGCAGTCTGTGTTAGCAATAGGGAAAGCCAATGGGAAAAGGAAACACATGAATGGGGTGCAGAGGTGAACACACTTTTCTCCCCTGAGCCTCAACTGCCTCATCTGTAAAATTAGAGAATCATTAAGACACACCTCTCATGGTTGTTGAGTGTATTAAATAAGACAGCGTATGGAAAGTACTTAGCACTTGCCTGGGCACAGAGTAAGTGCTCAACCAACACGAGCCCTTATTCATTCCTACTACTCATATGCTTACAGGGCTCCACCACACTTGGATTCCTGAAAGTTTCCACTTCTGGTAAGGTCAAAGTACCATGTTTGTGGGAAGAAGGGGGGAACAAATCACAAGAAAAGGGAGTCAAACAAAATTACTGTCTGACAGGAACGTGTGCTGTTGCCCTTGATTGGTTTTGCATACGAGTTAGTTTACCAATACTTTCAGGAGCATGTAAGTGTGAAACTGGAAAGCGTCACCGCAGGACTGCCACAAGCCACTGCACTGGCGATATAAAAGGGGAGGTGAGGGGAATATGCTGGACCAGGGAGAGGGAAAAAACTAGAGAGACAGAAAGGGTAGGAAGGTGAGCCCCAGGTGTGGAAGGACAAAAAGATATGGGGCTGGGGAGCAAACTGGCTTTAAAGTTCAAAGCACATTCATCCAGATTGACTGTTGAACACACACTTCTTTGAGTTTTTAAACATGTCTCCACTGTCCCACCTCTGTGCTTTCCCTCAAACCATTTCCTCTATATTATTTCCTATTCCCAGCCACGGACACTGCTCAAGGCCAGCCTAGCTTTCAGGCCAAGCTCAAATTTTCTTTTCTTTCAGAAGAAATTACAAAGCGTTCATGGTTAATAAGAATATAGACTCTGGGTCAGTGAGACCTGCTTTGGAATTGAGTTGGTTGAACCTGAGGCGAGTTTCTTCACCTCTCAAAACCTCAGCTTCCCAATCTGTAAAATGTAGATACATGGTAACAACCTCACAGGATTACAATGAATAATAAATGATGGTGCACATGAAGCCTTAACCATATGCTCAATAAATGTCAGCTGCTGTTATTTTCTCCATCACCCACACTCCCGTCCATTCCCCACACCTAGTACATTGAACTAGAATTACTGACAACCATGGAGCCGTGCTTCTGTCTCTGAATCCCCAAAAAAAGCCTAGTACACTAGGTAACATGCAACAGATGCTGCATAATAAATATCTGAATTGAATGCAATGACTATCACATTCTCAAGCTCGTGATTATTGACTGTTTCGAGTAAAAGAAAAAACATCCCAAGCAATTGGCTACCGGTGACCAAATGATCATGGCAGGGTTCCCAATCTTGTCTGGGATAAGAATGAACCTCTCCAGGAAACCATTCTGTGGCAGGGACCCTTGGGCTCCCATAATAATGAAAACAAGAACAATTAACAACTAACATGTATTGAGGACTTACTATGTCCCAAACACTACCTCTAAGGTTTACCCAAAATAAATCAGTTAACCCTCAAAGGAACTCCAGGGGCAATTCTCCCCGCTACTTTACAGAGGAAACTGAGTGACCAGCTGCCCCAGTTTGCCAGTATCTGAGGGGGTTCCTCAGACTTTCAGAGCTAAACCCAGAAAAGTCCCAAGCACGCTGGGAGGAGTGTGCCCTAACACTGAAGCATACAGATATTAAGTAAATGTCCCAAGGTCAATGAGTGGCCAAATCAGGATGACAAACCCAGGAGCCCCATCGCCTCTACTGCAGGCACAGACAAAGGCAAAAATGAACCCACTGAGACAAATTAGCCAGGTCATCAAGTGGGCTGTCCACCAGGCTTCCGAGCACAGAGTCTGACGCAAGTAAGTACTCAAATAATTGTCCCAACCGTGTTCTAACCGTGCACTGCCCAGAGCTACCCATATGACCTTAGGCAAATCATTATCATCTCTGGGCCTCAGATGTTTTCCTCTTCAAAATGAAGGGGTCACACTAAATCAGGATGGCAAATAAATCAGCTCCCTTGCCCATGGCAGGCAAAAGTAAATGATTAGGCTACTACTTCCCACTCCACCCAGACTTGGGCCTCAGAATCCTTCTCAACCCAACACACTGGGTATTCACAACCCATTTATAGCTGATGCTTGGCATGATCTCTAAAGCCACCAGCTTGATCTTCACAGTCTGCTGGCACTCAACTAGCTTCCCAGGAATTGCTCTGGTCTCTTAGGATTTGGCACTCAGACTAACACCCAAGGATAGGGAGCAGTTGGATGGCAGCAGGATGACAATGGAAGGGCCAGTCTCCGTAGACTGGGCACTCCGTGTCCAGTCCTATGCCATGTATACCTCACAGTACAGCACAGTGAACGAGAGCAGGGACTCAAGAGAGACCACTGGGCTCAGTATCCTGGCTCACCATTTACCAGCTGTGTGACCTTGGGCAAATTACCTAATGTTTCTCGATTTCCTCAACTACACAAGGAGGATTATAGTACTATCTACCTCACAGGATTATAAGGATTCAATTAGTTAATATGTGTAAAATGCCTGGCACGTAGTACGTAGTAGACGTGTTAATACCAGAACTCTCAAAATCACCCTGTGAGGTGGATATTATTTAACAGAGGAGGGAACTGAGATTCAGAGGGATTACGCTGCCCAAGATCACACAACTAGTTAAACAGCAAAGCCAGATTCAAACACTAATTTCTAAGCCTTTGCTCGCCACACTGCATTTCCGTAAACACTCAATGGTGAAATAAGGGATTCTTGATTAGCTGCAGGGCCTTGCCTGTACTCCTGGGGCTGCTGTACTTCCACCCTCAGCACCTGCTTGACCCCTCCTGACACTGCTCTCCTAGCTGGCTCTTGAATACTGCCTGCTTCAACTCCTGGACCATCCACACCTTCGGCACAGAGAGAGCAGATACCTACAGAAAACCAGAACACAGACTGCTGAGTCTCCAGCTCCTGGGAAACAGGGGAGAGAATCTTTACAATTCTGATTATTGGTCTTCCCCTATCTGTAAAGCGAATTCTGCTATTTTATAGATTTCTATCTTTCAGGGAATTGAGCAAACGCAGATTAGAGAAAATGTGTAAAGGGATTAAGTACCTTAGGTACCTATGCTGTATCTTATCTACCTCACTCCCCTAGGGGTCCTCCTAAACACATGTATCTCTTTGTCTTAAAAATCATAGCTATTCACAAAAATATTCTGGTTAACAGTAAAGTTGCTACAGCTAATATATTTCTTGCCATGCCATTATGTCCAGAAAGAGTGAGCTGGTGCCCACGTTTCTAGTTCATTCCATCTAGTGCCTTTTTTTTTTTTGGCAGCACCACGTGGCATGCACAACCTTAGTTCCCGGACCAGGGATCGAACCTGTGCCCTCTGCAATGCAAGTGCGGTGTCTAAACCACTGGACCGCCAAGGAAGTCCCAATATGCCTCCTTTTTAAAAGCTAGGAAAGTGCTTACCCAAAGATGGGGCTTGGAGAGTCTCCAACACTTGTGAGAGAGACCAGAAATTGGTTCCATTCTTGCTTCTGCCCAGGTTGCTGGCAGGAGCTGAGCAGGCAGCTTGCAGGTGACATAGAACCGTGTGCTCTTCCAGCCGGTGACTCCACAGGATGTGACATGGGAAGGTCCACTGACCTCCAGAGCGCAGTAATGGTGCACGACGTCCAGCTCTCAGTGGCTCCTACCTCTCCTCCTCACTTTACAGACAATAGGAAAGGCAGGAAGAAAGTGAGTTGGAAAAATACAGATATGTGCTTCCCTCCAAAGTCTCTCTCGTTGCTTATGAGATAAAGTCAGCTCCATCCAGACCCATTACTCTCCACGTTCTAAACGGTTCCTTCCTTTGTGAAACTGTCATACTTGTGCCTTTTCAAAGGAAACAATCTCTTGGCCAGGGACTTGACTCTCTCAACTCTAATGCCAAGGGAGAACCCCAGAGTTATCCGGCAAGGGGAAGGGTCCCACAAAATAAGAGTGTTTTTACCTCTAAAATTTGCTCTGGATGTGTGTCCAAGAGGTGAGAACAGATAAAAGCAAACTCCCAGGGAAGCACTGGAAGAGAAAGGTGAGAATGCTGAACGTGATTTTAACAGATGAGGTTGGGAAAGGAGAGCAAAGGGTAGTAGGCAGGAAAGCTGGCTCAGATTCCAAAAGATGTGGACTTGGCCACTCAGTGTGTGACCTTGGAAAAGTTACTGAACCATCTTCTGTGACTAACAGAATCTCTTTCCTCCTCCGAAAACTGGTGATAACAACAGTGTATTCTCTCCAGGGTTGTCATGAGGCTTCAATGAGATGATGCAGGTGGTGAAGGGCAGAGTGCCAAGAACTGGAGACATTCTTACCAGTCTGCCTCTCTTGGCCCATCATTTGACACTAACACTGTCTGACAGCTGACATTCACGGAGCACTTACTATGACCAGGCACAGTGCTGACCTCTGGGTTTCAAAGGAGAATTAAGTCTTGGCTTGATTATATTTGACGTATAAAGAGTACTCAGTTAAAGGCAGATACTAACGTCAAGGGCAAGCCCCGGTTAACAAACAGGAAGGCAAAATGGTTGACCTGAGTCTGCTTTTTGGCCTCTCCCACTTAGCCACACCCTTTGCTGCCAGCTCTTGCATCCCTGGTCAGCAGGCCCTAGCCTACATCAAGGACTTGGCTCTTCTAGAACAAATATGGAAGGACCCATAGACCTGAAGAGCTTGAAGGCTAAGATGATTAAAACAGAGAAAAGTTGTCGGGCTAGTAGTTACCCTAGCGAGGAAGAAAGCCTACGGGGTTCATGGACGCTGGTAACGCTGTCTCTCGGCCTAGATGCTGGTTACATGGATGCTGTTGACGCTGTCTCTTGGTCTAGATGCTGGTTACATGGAGGCTGGTGACGCTGTCTCTTGGTTTAGATGCTGGTTACATGGACGCTGGTGACACTGTCTCTTGGTCTAGATGCTGGTTACGTGCATGTGTTCACACTGAGAAGACAACTTCTACAATTAAGACTTGTGCACTTTTCTGTATGAATGTTATGTTACAATAAAAAATTACTCAGATCGTGACTGCCCCTCTCTATTATGCAAAGCATGAAGCAGCCCTTTCCAATGGGTATTACAAGTACAACTGGGTTGCAAGCACAAGACGTCAGTCCCCAGTGGCAGCAAGCGGCCTTATCACTTTACCCGCTGGGAGCTGTGGAAACACCATGATGTTTGGTGAGACTGGCAAGTCCTGCTCTCGAGTACCCAATGAATAGCATCCTCCTCATCAGACCAGTTTACCTTAAGGTTTTTCCTATCTAAGGTCAATTTTATTCACTTTATTTTTTTAATTTTTTGGCTGCGTTGGGTCTTCATTGCTATGCGCGGGCTTCTCACTGCGGTGGCTGCTCTTGTTGTGGAGCACGGGCTCAAGGCGCACGGGCTCAGTAGTTGTGGCTCGTGGGCTTAGCTGCTCCGCGGCATGTGGGATCTTCCTGGACCAGGGCTCCAACCCGTGTCTCCTGCATTGGCAGGCAGATTCTTAACCACTGTGCCACCAGCGAAGTCCCTATTTACTCCATTTTTAATCAGATTCTTTTATCCTCTCCAACCAGGAGACAGCTGGCTACATTTAAGGGTCGACACCCCTAGACCGATCTTTACAAACCTGAGAGTCAGTCTTGGACATCACTCCATATCTCACCATTCATAACGAGCAAATGTCTAGTAGGTCCCTCCCTCTTCCCCAACTTCCTTCCTTCCCAATTGCTGGAGGGAAAATCTAAAATAAATTTCAATCATTTGTCAAGTCAATGGATATAATTTCAGTAAAAATATACAGACTACGTGCTGGTTTTCTCTTTCAAAGTTTATTGTCATTAAAAAAAAAAATAAAACCCTCTACTTGTTACATTCACCTCTCAGAACATTTAATGTACCAGTTAATGATGTTATTGTAAAAAAAGCCCACCAACTGCTTGCAATGGCTCTAAGTTATCATTATTATTTTTTGCCATGTTCTGGTATTATAGTGGTTTAAACTCTTTGGAAAAAAATGGTGCAACATTAAGTAGCAAGATTTCAAATTCCCAGATTAGAAACAATTTTTATATCAGGAGGAATTTTAGTAAAAAATCCAACGATAAAAGGAAATGTTAATAGAAAAACAAAAATACTGTAAAAAATAGGATTCCCCCCACCCAGCCCCAAGTTAGGTTAAAAAACAAAAAAAATGGAACCAATCCCACCCCCCCCCATATTTCTCTTAGAAAAGTCACCCAGTCCTAAACGCAGGGTCTCACACACCAATACAAGTAGCCTGATTTGCAGACCAGCCTCTGGGATCTTACACTGGCCCCAGTCTGAAGGGTTTTTTTTCAAAACTTAAGGTAAGTTAGGTAGTTAGACTTCCATAAATACTGGTATCCGAATGAATGAAAACATCCTGACTTTGGTATGGCTACAGAAATCTGGAAACTGTTCAAGAGGACACTGGCTTAGAGAGGGAGTTGAGGGAAGCACACAACAACCCCCAAGTGGAGGTAAAATAAACATTAGGCCACACCCAAAGCAAACACTGTGTGTAATACCTGAGGCTGATGCCTTGAACGAAACACATGTAAAGGTTCTTGATCAGAATCACACACATACAGCTTCTTGAACAGAGTAACACACATACAGGTTCTTGATCAGATTAACACATGTATAGGTTCTTGATTGGAACTGTCTGGACCAAACTTTATCCAAGTTACCACTTGCAGGAAACAGTTTGAATTTGGTAATTTATCCACTACCCTGGAGTCCAAGAAGAGACAAAGACATTTTGGAAGAAGAACAGCCACCCGGGCTAAAAGCCAGGCCCCTCTTATTCTAGGAAGCTCAAAGTCTGTTTTTTCCTTCTCTCGTTCGATTTTGCCCATCACAAAAGCACCTCCATCTCCCAACAAGGGGGCTCTTCCACCCCAGGTCACCACAGGGCCCTGTCTGAGGGGAAGAACTGCTGATTTTTCATCCCTGGAGTGATTCAATAAAAAGCAAGTCTTCCGGGATCAGGAATATAATTTACGGTGCTGTGTCTCAAGTGTACTTTACGGTTTCCGTCATTTTCACTAGATCATGATTGTTAAAGGCTGTGAGGATACTGAGAAGGCAGCGGTGGGGCTGCGACCATGCCGAAGTGTGGCCTCAAACACCCTCAAATTTACTGAAAAGGGTAAAGTGCCCGGTCTTCAAATCACCAGTTACTTCATGAAAGCACAAAGGACCCACCAGACAAGGCAAGAAAACAAGGCAACTTGCTGCTGCATCCATGCAGAAAAGCAGTTATCGATACAATCCTTCCCCCAAAAAACAAACTTTGGTGCAGTGTTAGGAAGACAAGATAATCATTAAAAAAATAATAATAAAATTAAAAATTAAAATAAACCACCTTCGATGGCAATACACACTAAATATATCTAAATAAATTTCCATCACAGGGCACAAGGGGATAACAAAGGGCTCCCTGATATTATGGGAGGTAACACACACCACAGTGACAATTCGATCAAGAGAGAGCCTCCCTTACAGCAAAGGCCGCCAAGAAGAAACAAAAGATGAAGCCCCTGTTTACTGTCGATCCAGTTCACTATTGCAAATATCATAATCATGGGGGGCTGGGAGGCAGAGAAGAAACTCAGAACGCCCAGGCAATTTTGATAAACAGCATCATTTGTCCTGTTCTCTAAATGAGACTCCAACACCAGAAAAAAATGAGAGGAAAATTGGATTATAAATGAAAACTAAAATATATCTGTACAAGTCTTTACTCTGAGTCAGTAGAGTTTGGCCTCTGTTGAAGCCAGGACTCTGGGTGATTTACTTGTCATCACAGCTCTACAACTAGCTGTGGGGTGTGTACATCAAGAGACAACACGAAGACAATCACTTGAGACCAAGGGAATTACTTACAAAGATTTCCTAGGATGTATAAGGTCTACTGATTGCCCAAGAGATGCTAATACTTGCTCTAACCCCAAATACTTTAAACATCTTAAGGTGGCAACTAGAATACTAGAAACAAAACAAGAAAATCATCACCCAGTGAGTTATTTCTCCCATTATGGGAAAGAGGGAAAGGGAGCAGGACAGGCTGTTTCACCAGGATTCATTAGGGGGAGTGCAGGTTTAGTGTCAGCCAACGGCCTTCCTCGTCTGCAACCTGGGCCAGATCTCCTGGGAGCCCGGAAGTGCCGACAAGGTTCCATGGGTTCGGAATGGCCAGGCACAGCACTGGCATCAGCAGTGAGAAGAGTGCGATGTGAGTTACCAGTGAGAGTCTACAGATCACTGATGACTCCACCAACCATCTCACCTCCCCACCGACCACAGACAACCCGGATCACCAGCCGGCGGCAGGTGCCACCTCATCTACTTGGGAGCAGGAGAGAGGAGGGAATTACAAACGAAAGCTTCTGAAAATGACCGCTTCTTGTTCCAGCCTGAGCTAGAACAAATGCGTTTGAATGAACCACTTGCTTTAAACAACATTTAAAATATGGAACCTTCAGCACTTTATGGTATGAAACTCCCCCTTCCCTCAACCCCATTTACTGCAGTGCACGTCGTCTCCCGGGCGAATTTTTCTGTCTTTCAGCCGGTGGAATGGATGGCATACGTCAGATGTTACACAAGGCATTCATTTCTCCGAGAAGGCTTAGAGCCAGGAGAATTAATCTCCTTCTGCTAGGACCTCTGCCCCAAGCTTCTGGGGAAACGGTGAATTGGGCTTGACAAGGAAGGTAGCTACATGATCCACTAATCAGATTCAAAACATGAAAATGCACTGAGGAGGGTACCCCTTCCCGCTCCTCATGACAGCAAGACCTACAGATAATTAAGAGAGACGTCCCTTCAAACTCAAAGGAGGCTTTAAAAAAAAAAAAAAGACAAAGTATAAGCAAAAAACAAAGAAATCAGTAAAGCAAACTCCCAATTCTCCTGAAAGTAAAATAGTCTCATGGTGACGGATGAGTGGAAGAAGTCGAGGCAGGGAAAGAATGACACAAAGGCGGGAAGTGCCTGGCCACAAGGGCGCCTTGCAGAATCCACCACAGTGTTCTCCATTTTCCAAGGCCAAGCAAGTAGCAAGTCCCAAGTTAAAAACTTTCTATTAAGAGCAAAACAAAACCAAAAACCATTCCAGAAAAGGGGTCAAGGGAAGAACAACACTGGAGAAAGTCAGGCCGCTGACCTCCGGCGGATCACGAAGAGCCCGCGCTGAAGCTGACCCAAGTAAATCCTCATCTTGGTGCTGTCACTTGTCTTCCTCACCCAGATCTGCAGGGGAGATGGAAAAGGAACAGGATGAGAGAGGCTAATCCTGAGGGGCAAATCAGAATGTTTGCATGAATTAGGTGTAGCCAGATAGCTGGCAACCTCTTCCTGTCAACCCGTGAGGCATTTACAGGCCTTGACCTCTGGCCTCCTAAAGGCACATCTCCACTGCAGAGAGCAGGCATCACCCTTGAATTCATTTCTCCCAGCCATCTCTCTTACACCTTTGAGTAAGAAAATGGAAAGCACGGTGTTCTTGAGTTCCATTTTTGCCTTCATCTTAAAGACTTTTTTTAGACTGCACCGTGTAGCAGGTGGGCTTTTCTCTTAGTTCCCCGACCAGGTATCAAACCCATGGCCCCTGCACTGGGAGTGTGGAGTCTTAACCACTGGACCACCAGGGAAGTCCCCTTAAGGACTCTTTTTGATATGGTATGACTACAGCATTATCAACATTCAAGACACATATATTCATAAACTTACAATCAAATTAGAAAATACTTTCCTTGCCCCTAGGGACTTCCATAGTATAGCCTTTCAATTCTCTGGTTTCCTGGCAATTAAGGCTAATGGTCATAACAGCAAAAGATAGAAAAATTAACAACAAAAGAAATGCCCACGGGAGAGCGAAGGCCCAATGAGGATGCTGAGAAGGCCAAATTAGCTTAAGACAGTCCTTCCCTCCTGACCGCATCATTCTCCCACAGATGGGATCAGATGTCTGGCACTGTACAGGGCAGATGTATTCTTCCCTAGAACTGAAAATGAGCTCTTCCAGCATGGGGCCTGCCAGAACTGCCAAATGCACCCAGTATGTGGCATCCCTGCAGCCAGGGAGGGCAAGGAGAGCTGCCACCTCAGTCACCTGACCCACTTGCGGGGGGGATTACTGGAGGCCAGACACTGTGCTGACCAAACTGACCAAGCTCCTTCATCCTCAGAGCAATCCTATGGAGTAAGTACTGTTATCACCTCCATTTTACAGAAGAGCAAGGCTGAGTCCACTTGTCCAATGGGAATCCTGGCGCCTGACATCAAAGCCCCTTGCTGTTCTACCTGGTTCCCCACTTTCTCACCCCTTCTCTCATCCGTGTTATTAACACGTGATCAGATGGAGACAAAAGCATAAATTTTTTAAAGATCTGCATCTCACCTATATATGCAAGTACAAGTTTACAGATACAGCTCCACCTTTGCCCATTCAGTTATCAGGTTTATAAAAAGCTTATTCAGGGCTTTCCTGGTGGCGCAGTGGTTGAGGGTCCACCTGCCAATGCAGGAGAAACGGGTTCGTGCCCCGGTCCGGGAAGATCCCACATGCCTCGGAGCAACGAAGCCCTTACGCCACAACTACTGAAGCCTGCGCGCCTAGAGCCCACGCTCCGCAACGAGAAGCCACTGCAATGCGAAGCCTGTGCACCACAATGAAGAGTAGCCCCGCTCACCACAACTAGAGAAAGCCCACGCGCAACAACGAAGACCCAACGCAGCCAAAAATAAATAAATAAATTTATTAAAAAAAAAAAAAAGCTTATTCAGAAAAAGAGAAAACTATTCTCAGTTTCTATTTCCTTACTGTGATTATTTAACAACAAAGAGACTTTAAAGTCAAATACACTTGTTTAAAAATAAAGACCTCACCTGAAGCTGAGCCTCTAAAGGACCTTGCAGAACCATTTTAAACTGAAAACTGACCCCAAGGAGGGCTGAATAGTTAGTCACCAACATGCTCAGACCCACGCACCAAATATGCTCAGAGTCAAGTTATGCAGAAGCCAAGTAGCTTCAGTGTTACTTAGGAATTCACCTGAAAAAATGAGCTGGAATACTTCCAAGAAGTGAGAAATGTTTTCCCCGTTGCAAGCCTCCGACGCACTGAGGCTTCTCCCCTCCAGGAGACGTGTCTCAGTGTCACCGTTTCCTTATCAGACTTCGCTAACTATTATGTCAAAGGGTGACAATCTTCAACAGAGAGAGAGAAAAAAATCTAACTTGCATTTGTTTTCCTGAAAAGTCCTGAGGTGTCACAGAGAATAACGCATGGGTTCTGAAATTAGGTTCAGGGACAAGGAGGCCACACACCCTCTGTGCAGCAGCCCACATGGTCAGGCACACGTGCTCCGCTGTGAAACTGCAAAGCCTCCTGCCAGGGCAGCGGCTCTCTGAGATGCCCTGTTCCGACCTGGCTTAGGGTGACACACAAATTGCGAGCCTAGAGAAAAATGACATTCATTTATCTGGAAGGCCCTCCCTAACTTCTAAGTTAACAATCATTTTGCTAACTAGTTGTCACATTTGAGGGCATTTTCAATTCAGGAAGCTGGGAGAATAGAATAGGCTTAAGTTATTTCATAATCCAGCTTCATTAGACTTACTATCCTCTGGCACGAATAAGTTACAGAGGGAAGACACATAAAAATCAATTTCTTTGCAGACGTTTGTGGACTGATAAAAGATCAAGCCAAATAGGCTATTAACGTTTTGAACTGTTTTTTGACTACTAACAATACCAGTTACACACTGCTGACACCCTCCTAAAGAAGGGTCAGCCGGAGAACTCACAGGCTAGTCACATCATCCTTCAGCATGACCCTCAGAGCTGACTTTCAACCAGACCCCATCCTATAAGAGAGACTGGAGGAGACCAGTCCCTAAGGGTATGAGCCTGGTAGCTCATTGCCCAGAAGCACAACAGGACACGTCGGATTAGAGAGACAGCAGGTGAAGAGTAGTGTGTGGGTCAAATCAGGCCAGCACCCATTTACTGAACACTTACTGTGTGCCAGACCCTGTGTCAGGTGCCTTGTTAGATCCTCAGAGCATGAAACAAATCTGAGTGCACATGAAAGCTCGAGAGAAATAACAGCAAAGACAGAGTATGCTCCAACGGCAAGTCCCATCCTCAGTAGATGGCTGCCTCAAAAAGCAGCAGGATTTGAATGCGCAGACATAACACCAACTTGCCTTGTGTTCTTTCCTGCAGTCTATCTCAGTGGTGCCCAACTCAATTACTCTGCAGGGAGTTCACAAAACCACAAGGCTTACATAAACCTGCATAAACTGCAGTCATGCAAAGTAAGGGATTTTTAAGGGTGATTTTGCCTATGTGCAATTTCAGCCTGAAAGTGCTGACTTTAGAATCTAACCCGCATACAACACTGTGATTCCACCGTACTTTCTTGGTGGCACTCACATTGCAGGTTTGTCCCATTTTGCTTTCCTAAAGGGTGACAGAGGTTCAGTCCTACCTCATTGGCTCCGACAGAGCTGATCACACAACTCAATTTCTGGTTGTCCTTTGACTCCAGATAGATGGCCTGGCTCTTGTGGTACCTGCGGGAAAAAAGACACACATTTATTTTTTTAACCACTTTATTGAGGTATGACTGACATGTGAGAAGTAGTACGTATTTAATGTATACAACTCAATGAGTTTCAGGATAAGTACATACCTGTGAAACCATCACCATCAAGGCCATAAACATAATTCACCTCCTCCCAAAGTTTTCTCCCACCCTCTATTATAACTACTGTTTTGTGGCTTTTTTTTCCTTTTGTGGTAAGAATAGTTACCATAAGGTTTACCCTCTTAACAAATTTTAAGTGTACAGTATTGTTAAGGGCCCAAATTTAGAAAAGGAATAAAGAAAAGGCCACAAAGGAGGGAAGAAAAAAAAAAACACAACAAAAAATATAATTAAAGGAATCTTAATTTATAGTTGAGGAACAGCCTGGATTTCAGGTTTAATTTACAGGCTTCCACCCTTGGATTAGATCAGATGACCTCCTAATCTCCTTCTAAGTCTAAAAATTACATTCTTGGTTCCACTGCAGAGTAGAAAAGGGGGCCAAGGAAAAGGCTGGAAAACTCTGTATTTTAGTTTTTTATTTGAACTATATAACCCAGTTCAAAAAGTAAATTATACTTTTTTAAGTAAAACCTCTGTCCCCACTTTCTGCCTCCACCCCAAAACACTGAGGAGGGTTGGGTGGACAAAATGAACAGGTGGGCTTGAACAGACTGTCCCGTTACATATTTTCTATTTGTCCAAGTAAGTTATCAACAAGAAGGCAAGCCAAATTCAGTCCTTACTTTGATCACTTATTCAGCAAATACTCATTCACCACTTGTTGTGTACCACTGACCACCCTGGAGGGTGGAGTGGACAGTGAAGAAGGCCACAAGGTCCCTGCCGTCAGGAGCTTCAAATACAGTGGCAGTGACAACTATGAAATAATCACACCTGGCAAGTACTAACTAGGTGAAGTTCTGACTGTTAGACTTGCACCAAAGGGTACCTAATTTGGCCTGGTCAGTCGGGAGAGCAGCTCTGAGTGGAGTAGATAAGACAGACTCCCCCCTTTCAGTCCCTGCATCTATTCTGTAGTGTAGGACCACCCTCACCTTCTTCTAAGAGTTCAGGGACAAGGCAGAGGATGAAAAATGAGGAAGCCAGGGCCAAAGCCCAAATGAGTCAGTAACAGGTGCCACAGGAGGAAGGAGCAGCTACTGGGTGACAGGAGTTGGAAACATCAGCTGAGCTGCTGCTGGCAGCCCTGGCCTAGGCCAGCCCAGTTCAGTCAAGATAACCTTTGGTTCATTCTGGCTGCAAAGAGTTGGCTTAACAGACCCACTAACTCATATAACTTCCACCAAAACACATCTCCCAGCAAAGCACTGCATCTAACCATTATTTCTGTGGGGGAAGAAGACAGACTCTGTTTTGCTGGTACAGTGAAATAATCCACTGCTAAGATATCACAGTAAAGGATGTACTTCACTCCCACAATGGGCTTTTTCCTGTCAAGGTTCTAAGCATTCTTTAACCTGCTACTTAGGAGCGGAAAACTCAAGTTTCCAAGTCAATTTACTTCCTGAGAACACCGTTAAAAGAAATCAAATCATAAATTCAATTAGAACAGCGAGACTGGTTTAGACCCAGCTTGAAAGCTGCTTTTGGCCAGGGATCAGTTGGTAAACTGGGTCAGAGGACATCCATTATGCTAAATATGTAATATTACAAGGTCTGAATTAACAAAGTGCATGAGGAAAGGTTCAATTAGTTCACAGAAAAATCGAACTTGAGTTTCCCTCCCACATCTAAGCCAACCATCCTATGTAAATGGTAACGTCTTGAGTAATGGTTAGAATAAAAACAGAAGGGGAGGGCTTCCCTGGTGGCGCAGTGGTTGAGAATCTGCCTGCCAATGCAGGGGACATGGGTTGGAGTCCTGGTCTGGGAAGATCCCACATGCCACGGAGCAACTAGGCCTGTGAGCCGCAACTACTGAGCCTGCGTGTCTGGAGCCTGTGCTCCGCAACAAGAGAGGCCAAAGAGGCCAGCACACCACGATGAAGAGTGGCCCCCGCTTACCACAACTAGAGAGCGCCCTTGCACAGAAACGAAGACCCAACACTGCCAAAAATTAAAATAAATACATTAAAAGAAGGCTCAACATTTAAAAAAAAACAACAGAAGGGGAGAACATTCACAGTCATTCTATGGGGGTTGTGAGTTATTAGAGAGATAAAAACACAAAACAACATGCAACTAGCCTCAAGTCATCCTGATACTACTTTCTAAATAAAGAAAGGTCATGGGTGTGGTGTAGGAGTATATTACTAGTGTGGAAATGTGGTCAATATACTGCTCAGTCAAGAAAAAACTACGTCCATTATGTCCCTGTGTGCGTAATACAACAAAATACGTGTTACATGTGTATCATATAAACACATACATAAAAACTGGTAAATTTATATTAAAATCTCTATTAAGTGTATATTAAAATTTCATAAAAATATAAAGTTTTATAAAAATATAAAATAATGATATTCTTTTTATTGCATAGTCTTCTTCTTTCCAGAATAAACAGGTATTACTTGTAATCAAAAAGTAAATAGTACTTTCTTATAAGTCATGGTACTGAAAAACACCGAAGTAGCCAAAGGGCAGGAAGAAAACTTAATGTCACAAATTGATGTCTTAGTGTCTGTTAAAGACAACTCTGGGAGACAAGCCGGACAACTCTCCTGAGACATGCTGCATTTTCCCTCAGATGCGCTCAGCACCCAAACCCCAACCCATCCGACTGGCTTTAAAGTAAACCTCAGGAGTAAACCACGCAATGTAACCTACTACCCCTGGGAAGCGGTCTGGGACCTGCACAGCTGGCCACCTCCCAAATCCGCCTGCTCTGGGACCGCTGGATGGTGGTGGCCTGAATGCCCAGCAGTGCTCCATGTGCTTCCTGGGCTCCACAGGAGAGCTCGCCAGCGTGTTTCCCAAACCAGCTGATTCCCAGGTCCTCGTGAAGCAGAGGCCCCGGGACCTCCAGCGGTTGTCAGGCACCACACAATGGTCTTGGGGAACCATTATCCCTGGATATCAAATCTAGTAAATTACCCAAATTCCCTGGGAAAAAAAAAATAAGTCCTCAGAAATTAAAGTGCTCATGCTGGGGCGGCGGTTTCAAGATGAAACCAAAAACTATATGACAACCGTAACATACAAATTTATGTGCCGATTTCTAAATACTAATTAAAAGGAGGGGGAGATTCAGAATATGTTTAGACACAAAAAAATGTTAAAAATACAAAAATAAAGTTAAATTAGTAAAAATGTACATTATCACTTTTTTTTTGCCAATTAACCTGTTTTACAAGCTACAACTCATCTCTGCTGAAAAAAATACTTTAAACAGCCTCAGAGAACAAGCCCCAAATGTCAAATTGACTTTATTACTAATGGAAATCCTGACCTGGGAATCCCTACAGTTAAGTTCTTAAAGCTCTGCCTCTACTGTTAAACCTGACAAAATAGAACCACCGCTACTATTATGGAAAAAAGCAATTTCTTTAGAAGGTGGGTCAAAAAGTGGGGCAGGGAAGGGGTAGAATTAATTTAATTTTGTATCCTACTGGGAATACTGATATTATTGTGTCATTTCCCCCAAAAATCCATGAATACCATGTTACAACTACAGGACTTAAAGGAATCCTGATTCTAGCTGTAAAGAGTCACTGTTTTGAGTTAATAATCTCTCGTGTCAGGCAAAGGCCGGAGGGTTAAATCCACCCATGCAAGTGGGTGACTTCACTGAATTCACTTCAGCAGTACTGGATTTAAAGTGAGGAAAGAAAAAACAGTCCACCGGCACCATCAGTGAGTTACTTTAAAATCTCAGCTACTTTCGCAGTACTTTCTAAGAAGGGTCATTAGTTCAAATCAAAATGTGAGGAAAACTTACAGGATATAAAATGTCTTAAAAGCAGTATAAGACCCAGGAAAAGGGAAGATGCTTATCTTTCCAAATGAAATGTAGCTTGATAAGCGTTCAGGCCAAGATGGGAAGCCCGAACCACGCTCATTTTGCTGAAGTCATTAAAACTGAATGAAACATGTTTTGCCAGAAATACTGTTTCACCAAAATACTCCACATCACTGGAAAGAGCAGAAAGTGATTCAGCCGACCTCTCAGCCACAGGCCACAACTGCTGGAAAAGAAGGAAGAATGAAAGCCTCCAAACTGACAAGGACACAAAAGCCAAACATCAGGAGCCTGGTGAGCCGCGAGAGGCCAGTCCTGTAGAGGACTCCTGGCAAACACCTTCCAGATGCGGGGGGGACCTGCCTTTCAGCAGATGAGTCATGAACCTGACCTCCAAGGCCAAAGATGGGAAACACAAAGAACACAGAAAACAACAGTCTCAATATTTAACAAGAGAGTAAGCAACTTGAAAGTCACTAAAATAGTAAAATGCTCCGAGACACTTGACAGATTTCTGCCGCCACTGGGAGAAAGACAGTGATTGTGACATTCCTTCAAAATGCTTAGGTGATCTACCACACACCACCTGACCACTGTCTACATTATGAAACACCAGTCACCGTGGGTCCTTTCTTTAGAAAAACAAGAATTTTATTTTACTGCATTTTCATCCTCAAGACATGTATCACAAAGTCTAAGAATTAAGCCTTAGAAGGAGGAAGATCAGAAGCAATGCAATGACAAATGAACATCATTTGAAATATCACATGGCTTTAAGACTCACAGATCCGTAAAAATGCTAGTGATAAATCTTATCATTTTTGAAGATGGTTCTTATGTGTGGGCTTGATCTTTAAAGGTTATTTGGTTTTCATTATTAGAAACATTTTTCATTTTATTTGCCCCTCAGGGTGTTGAGCTGTCAGGGCCTGCCACCTAGTGGTGCTGTGTTCTGATAAGCTATGTTAGGACACAACATAACTGGCCTCTTAGAAAAACAGTCAAATGACAGGGGCAGAAGTCACTAAGATCAGGGTTACAGGGGGCGGAGTCAAGATGGCAGA